CGTTAATGGCTGTAGTAGTCGGGTATAAGAACAATGTAGCTTTGCTACTGGTAAAGAGGTCTGAGAGGCGTCATGTGAACCGGGGCAACCAGAAAGACAAGAGAAGCTGCACAGTTGAAAAAATCCAGTTGTAATTAGCAGCAACGGGCAGGCGTCCCAGAGCCAGGTCCTGTTGCTGTGACGTGCCGCAGCCCTGCACCATCCCCTGTGCCCCCAGGTGCTTGATCCCCTGCTTTGCCAGCTGTTGGTGCCCTGTGTTTCCATTCCTCACTCTCACTGCCTCTACTGATCTCGGGAAACGATGTTGGTAAAACTTAACTTTGCAGAAAGAGGCAGCACAAACGCTTGCACTGACACTTTTCTGATGGGAGCACTCAGTCTTACAGATGAAGTGACTGAGACCATTGTGACCTGAGCTTTGTAGCCCAGATGGTCCATCAAGAGTCCATTAAGACCAAATCTGGAAGATGGAGAAATAGAGTAATGGCCTGGGGGTGGGCATTTGCTGCCACTGGAGATGTAGCCAAGTTCAGCTGACAGGGAAGTGATTGTATGTGTAAGAATTGATGCCGTAGATGGAGGATGTGTGCAGAGATTTAACAAGTAATGTGCAAGTTAAATTATACAAGGATAGTATGTATGACATAAAGGATGAAGAGGAAGATGTAGGATCATCAGGACTGTCAAATGGAGGAGGTGCTGGCTTTTTGGAAGAGATAGCATCTCCTTCAGTTGGCAATCCAAATAATAAAAATGTAAATTGTCCAGTGCTTCAGCAGTCAGTAAATAGTATTCTGAGTGCTCTCACAATAAATTTGATCTTTAGCATAGGTGGTGAGTTTGATGGCTAGCAAAATGTTCAAGTTTCAAAGTCTGATATTGGGAAAAAATTAAAGAATTTCCAGCATAATTCCAGCTTATGGAATGTATATAACTGTAATTTACCTATTTGTATGTTTTTCAGTAATATTAACTAGAGGTGTTAGCAGTGTAACTGTGTTTCAAAAGCCACTTCTAGGTACTAGATCCATTTGCTAAATATCATTGTAAGAACACTTACCCCATTATACAGGTAAGCAAAAGTTAATGTAAAAATTAAGGTAGAAACTATTAGCAAAACAACAACCATGTTGTCTAATTGAAAACAAATATCTTTGTTTCAGATTTTCTCCCCTTTGTATGTGATGGCTGTTCAGGTGTCTTTTGGTAAGTTCACAATATCTCCAGTTGGAAGGGACCCATAAGAATCCTTGAGTCCAACTCCCTGCTCCTCATAGGGCCACCTGAAACTATACCAGATGACTAAGAGCATCGTCCAGGTGCTCCTTGAAGTCTCACAGACTTAGTGCTGTGACCATTTTCCCAGGCACCCTGTTCCAGTGACCGACTGCATTGAATAACCTTTTCCTGTTGTTCAGTCTGGACTTTCCCTGACACAGCTTTATCCCATTTCCTTGTGTCCCATCACTGGTCACCACAGAGAGGAGATCAACATCTCCCCCTCTCCTGCCACTCTTGAGAAAACTGTAGACTGCAGTGAGGTCACAACACCTCAGCCATCCCTTCTCCAAGCTAAATAAACCAAGTGATATTATTTAATTGAAGTGTTCCTATGATAAAACTTGTCAGATTTCAACACTTAAATGTTTTCACATGTAGTTTTCTTTTCCTGAAATGGAGATAATGGTGTGATATTTTCTTCTTTTGCCACAAAGCCTTCAGCACAGGAGCCGGGATGCTCATGAGTGTTCTGAGGTAATTTAATAATATAGGACTACCTTAAAATTAAAATTCCACACAACTGTCTATTTTCAGATTAGATGATATACATTCATGTAAGTATGAATTATTTAACTGCGAACATGACAAGCTTAAAAAAAATGAATCTGCTCTTTTTCTGCCTGTCAGAAGTAAATTGAGTCTAAGTAGGATGATGGTTCTTTTTATAACTCTGAGCTAGACTTAACCAGGACAGAAGTAGGAGAAAGTCACTGGACTGCTTTTGTTCATTGAATGGAGAGCTAGTACAGTTCTTTTGGAAGCTGGGGTGGTGGCTTGTATCTGCAATACCTGTTTGTTTACACAAAATATGTTGTACTAATGCCTAGGTGAATATAAGAAGCAGTTCTGAGAAACCAGATCAGCACAGATCTTACCCATGCTCATACAAGAACTGCAATGGAAAGGAGCTTTTCCCAGTTTTATGTCCTTATTGTGAAAAACATTTTTGTCTAAGGTAAGTGGAACAGAGTGTTTCAACATCAATGCTCATTCATTACTGTATGGAAAAGGTAATAAAAGTTTTACACTGTTGTTTACAGACACCGGCATCAATCAGACCATGAGTGTGAGAAACTGGACACACCAAAACCTCAAATGGCTGCCACCCAGCAGCTAGTGAAACATATTATAGGCAAGTAAAGTGACATATATATTCTACAGTTTTCTTCAGAAGGCTCTTTGAGCTTGTGACCTCCTCTGAGGGTTCAGGTTGGACCAAATAAGAGGAAAGGATGGGAGCTTCTTCTTAAATTAGCCCTAAACTCACATGTCAGCATATAATACTGTTCATCTACACTGAGACAACAGTAGCATATGTCTGTACAGAGAATCTTTAAAGATTAAATAGGGCTGAGGTTTCTTTCAGAATTGTCTTGTCCTCATTTTGTAGGTACTGTAATGCAATTAATTGCACCTAGCCATTATTATTTGCATATTAGTTCATATGCAAATAATGCAGTTGTATTGGGTGCATATACCAGTCTGCTGGGATTTTATCTACACAACCAAGCTGGCAACAAATGTGAGTCTACCAGGTAAAGTTTTGCAGCTTTTAAGCAAGATCTAGGGCTGGAAAGAGAATAAACAGCACTGCCTGTCTGGACAGCGGGGTTCTGTGTAGACAGGAGAACTTGACGCTGCTGCATATGAATGCTGTAATGGCCACAGCTGTAGGAATTTAGGCATTGTTACATACTGAGCTTTTTCAACCTGTGTTTACCTCATGTTGGTGTTCACGTATTTTTCAATGTAAAGAAATTCTGTTAGGACTGTAGCAATTCCAAATATTATTAAATGGGAGATATTATGGCCTCAGGAGGACATGAAAGGAATGGGAACCTTGGAGATACAATGAGGCCAATTCCAGTTTAGACTCAGGAGACAGTCTGAATCATCACACTAACAGGAATAATATTGTTTTTAGATTCTAGAAAAAGTGAGGAAGCAAAAAGCAAAAAACGTAAAGGAGCAAAAAACAGTGAGACAGCAGCAAAAGTGGCATTAATGAAACTGAAAATGCATGCGTGTGGGGACAAGTCCTTGCCTCAGGTCAGTCATGTTTCTTTTCCATATTTGAATTCTCAGAGTAAATGGGAACTTCTCTACATTTCTTGTTCTTCATTTAGTCCCCTCAGTTTGGTTTTGGATTTCATTTTCAAGCCCACAATTATTTACACATATATTTCAGCCTGGTACCCAAAAGCATTCTCATTAGTTTTAATGTCCCCTATAAGGTCTCTGTGTGGAGTTCAGAGCAGTTCAGGTCAAATTCCATTATTTTATACCAGAAAGGTGTTTTCCTGCCATACAACTGTCATCCAGCACTGCAGAGACAGGTTCTTCTGGGTATCCCTGGCAGAATGATGACAGTGCTAAGTTGTAGTTAAAATTCAAGCTTTATTATTTTAACTGGATTTTATTATCAACATAGCATAGGATTTTATGATCCATGTAGCACAGGATTTTTAAAATCAGATTCAGCGTAGCACGATTTCATACATAGCACAGCACAGGAATTGTATAGCACAGCTTATGGTTCCTAAACATCTGGACCCTCTGCAGATCAGGTCAAATCTTAATACTTAGCTTGCAGTAGCAATACCCCAGACATCATCCAGACTCAAAACATGAAAAAGAACATGAGTCACTCACTCAGTCCTCAGAGGAAGCATACAACAGTGGAGGTGTCCCTGTGCACCGAGGGATCACAGATTTTGCAGTTCAGCAGCAAAACCAGTTCTGGTCCAAGTCCCACTGAGAGCTTGTAACTGCTGCTACACTTTCCTGTTCAGGGTCATCAGCATCAGGTTGGCCAGGTGCGTGGGACCTTCAAGGCCCATAAGGAGTGGAGTAGTTGGCCTGGTGCCCAGTGACCAATAGGCAGTGGGAGAAAAAGTCTGCCTGGTGTGCAGGACCTGCAGGGCCATCAGGAGAGGGGACTGATACAAGACCAGCATTTTTTAAAGCATCCTCAGTAGCATCTTGGACAATTTAAAGCATAGCATAAATATCTACAATAGCTCTTTCCAGGTCATCAATACTTAAACTTTGAAAAACTGCACTCGTAAATTGATTAAATGTCATTCTTTTTCCCGAGGGATTGATCACAACACACTTACTGCATACAGGGTAATGCTTGGCTAAAAAGGTAGAATACAGTGGGTGTTGTTATAATTTTTTTAGAATTGAGGTTTCCATGTAGTTAAAGTTATGATTCCTGAAGGTAATTATCCAAGCCTCTGAAAGTTAAAGGGAGCCCCCATTTATAAACAGTTTACCGTATGCCCTTTTCTCAGGGAGCTAGTACAGTGGCAGATATTTTAACCATCAAAGGGTAGTTAGTAAGAACAGTGTCACCTTGAGAAGAACAACAGGCTGATAGTGGGGGCTTTAAATCTTTTATGGGTTGGAGACCAGGAAAATGATCTTGTTCCACCAGTGCGTGTCTGCTGGTTATTTAAGCATCTGACAGCTTTAGGTAGGGCTTTATACTACATTCCTGTATATAAACTTTGCTGTAGAGCTCATTTTAGTAGACCATTCCACTTTTCAACTGTGACATTATTTTGGGGCCTGCAGGGTAGGTGAAACACTCTGTGATGTTCACACCATTCTGCAATTTAATGTTTTTTTAATGAGTGCCATTGTCAGACTGCACAGCAGAGGGCATGGAAGTGTCAGCAAACCATTAAATCCTGCCACCATGTTAAGACCATTTGCTTTCTGTCAAGCAAATATTTTCCCTAAGCTCCATATTATTTCAGCTCCAGTAAGGATATAATGCCACCCCTCAGATATTCAAGGGAGAGGTCTAACCTAATAAATTTGCCAGGTGGACCAGGGTACCTCTTTCCTACCCTCCTTATCCATCTGGTTCCCAAAAAGAGGACCTCCTGGCTGGGGCCCTGGCATTGCTTTGTCATCAATTGTTTCAACCTTTTTTCTGACCTCTTTGTTGAGAGTAGCTTTCTGCAGATGATTGCTTCTTTTGGTGTCAGACCTGATAGAGTTAGCCTTCTTGAGACTGACCAGCTCAAAACAGGAGGGCCATGCTATAGAATAGTGTTAGCTATTGCGTTCATGGCTGACCAGTATTTTCTTGGATATGGCACAGAAAATCCAGGAGGCATATCCCATAGCTAGGGATGCAACAGCAGAATGAGGTGTTTTGTGAATTAAGTTCCAGTGAACTGTGGGAGACTGTCTTTTTGATCTTAGAAGTGGAGGAGCAACTGTAGGAAGGTGCCAGGGCACTGACAGCAGTTGAGTGATGTGTGTGTCTGTAATAGGATGGCTGTTGTGTTATGTCTTTTACAAGTTGTGATCATTTACATTTTAGCAAGATTCAGGTCCTGCTTCCCTTGCCTCTTTCTAATGTTCTTGGGTGTTAAAGGGTTTTTTGTGTGTGGAGAGCACTCCAATTTTTAGGAAAATGCACAGATTGAATTTCAGACTCAGTGTTACAGACATAGCTGGGTGAAGGGTAGTTCCATGTTTTTGTAGGGAATGCATAAAACAATCCTTAAAAAAGACTTCTATCTTGTTTGATAGTATCTGACAAGGACAGTCTGAACTGATTAATATCTTCTGTTGAAAGTAAAAAATAAATAAACCTGAAGAAGGGATTGTCTCAGTCCCATTAAAAATCTCTCCCTCATATGTTACTCTTGACATTTCTTAAATAAATGTTTCAGTCTTGTAGATACTGTATGAAAGGGCATTTATTACATAAAAAGAGGAAAAACAGGATAAAGGATTAGCTGGTCATGACCAGAATGTTAGTTAGTGACATAGACATTTATTTGTAGAGATGAATTCTTCTGTTTTAATTGTGTTTGCATTCCAATTTGAGATACTATACTGCTGCCAAAAGCCAGCACTGCTTATTTAAACACACCTTTTTCTTCCAAGAGCTGTCTGGTAAACCCACAGCAGACACCTTTTCATGTCTGTCTATATACATCAGTTAGCTGTGGGACTCCAGCAAAAAAACACTTTTATGAACATTTAATCTGCAGTAAAGTAGGGCTTTGGTCCTGATGGAAAAGAACAAGTTTCAGCTGAAGTTTTTACTGAAAAACTATTAGATGTGTATGACTTGAATTGTGTGCTTCTTTTGTGAATATTTTTTTTTGTTTATTTTTCATGTTTTTCTAGACAGAAAGAATTTACTTTCAAGTATTTCTACCAAAGGGGAACAAAGAGAAAAGCATGCCCATGTTCTTTTGCAGTAAGTGGAGTATTGGGAAAGTAGTAGACGTTGCAGCTTCCTTAGCAAGCCTTAAAAATGACAACAACAAATCAACAGCCCAGGTAAATCAGTTAAAATAACAAACATTTTTCAGGTTGTTGCATTTTTTTTGTTTGTTTGTTTTTAATCTTTTGTCCCTCCCCCACCCCACTTCTTGCATCTCAAATCTTGATGTTAACTTTGGTGTTATTTGTCTTACAGAAATTGAGATTATGCCATACTGCCTCTGGAGAAGCCTTGCCATTTGAGCACATATTGGAAACACGGCTATCTGATAAAGACTATCCATTGTACAATGGTGGAAACATAATTTTAGAGTATCTTGATAATGATGTTCTGTTTATAGAAGATCCGGAGTCGTACTTTAGTTAATCAGTAAATTATCACTAAGAAAAAAAAATAAAATATTTTTTAGAAGTGTGGTATTCAAACCGAGTCCAGTTTTCTTTTAAAATTACTGGTAGGCCAGAATCTGTCCTCAGTTATAAAGACGCAATTCCCATCAATTTGTCAGTTGCTTGACTGACAGAAGATCTATGTCCTGAAAGGAAAATAAGCTATTATAATAATAAATATTTCAATTTTTTTTCTTAAATTTTATATTTATTTTTGTGTAAATGATGCAAAAATTGTGTCTTGAAATTAATAAACAATGAAAATGTAAACTTGCAGTGTATCAGTACTCTGAAGTGAAGAAGCACATTACACTATTGTAGTGTCTTTCCTACATCTATGAGGACAGATCTCATGTGTTTGTAAATCTTGGCATTATTGTGTGATTAGATGGGGCACAAAAAGAGAACTTAGAATTACCCTTTTCTAATTCTCATGTAAAAGAGAAAGAAATACAGTTCAGCTAGAATCACAGCATTCAGCTTGCAGTTTCATCCTGGTATTTGTGATCTTAGGTAAATCTCTTGTTTCTTCTTCAGCAGTCGGCAAGATGAACTTACTAGGTTTTAAACCAGTTGTTCAATGTGATTGTACATAACAAAGTTACACCTCTGAGTGCATGAGTATGGTGCATAGAGACATAGAAGTGATGGCTTTCTTATTTGCCAGTGTTTTTAAATTGTTTGGTGCTCCTTAAGAAGATTGTTCAGAATATCAGTAGTTGATGCACTCCAGTTTTTGGATCTCTTTTGATGGATTTCAGAGCTGGATTGTAAATTCAAAGTGAACATAGCAAGGAAAGAACCACATTATTTTTATCATAGTTATAGCTGTATTGAAATACTGAAACATAAAACCATGCAGTGTTGCTGCAATAGGGTCAGTACTTCCCTAATCATAAGTTCTGATATCTAACAAAGGAGCCTTGCTTCACCCTTTGTGAATGAGCCTGTTGCAGCCTAAGCTCACTTTGTAATGGCCTTGAGCCTGTCTATTTAAGCTAGAGGAGCAGAGCCCTTTCAAGACTAATCCCTCCAATTTGCTTTCATCTGTTTACAATTTTTCAGCCAATGTTCTCCAACTGGGAGTAGCTGGAAAGGCAATCCTCAATGACAAAAAGGACAAGGTATGAACAGGTGTAAACAGAGCGATGGAAAGCACAATCCTAAGCTCCCTTTGCAAACTGTAGCATGTCTACTGCTCTGTGGTGCTGTGCAGTGTGAATGAACTACTAAGGCAAATCTATTCCTCTGATAATAGGCTAACAAGACTGTCAGCTGCAGCCTGTGAGGTGTGATCCATTGCAACTGAAATGACCTACTGGCTTGTGGTAAGGGTGCAGTATTCAGGCCGACCGTGAGAAATCTGTCTGCCACAGTCTGATTAACTGCCAGATTACTGTGACTCACCATCCACCAAGTGTGAAAAGAGAAAAGCTACCTGTGCTGGAGCAGCCTGTTCCCAAAGGACTTGCAGCCCGTGGAAAGGACCCACACTGGAGCAGTTTGTGAATAACTGCAGCCTGTGGGGAGGACTTATGTTGGAGAAGTTCATGGAGTCATGGAGGACTCTGTCCCGTGGGAGGGACCCCACAATGGAGCAGGGGAAGAGTCTAAGGCGTCCTTCCACCTGAGGAGGAAGGAATAGCAGAGACAATGTGTAATGAACTGACCACAACCCTCATTCTCCATCCTCCTGCTCCACTGGAGAAGGCAGAGAAAATCAGGAGTGAAGTTGAGCTTAGAAAGAAGGGAAGGGTGGGGGGAAGTCCTCATTCTCTCCTCACTCCCTTCCTTCTTCCTTCTCCCACTGATTTTTCTGCGCTAGCAGTTGCAGACAAAATAATTTAAATAACATTTATTGTGGGTAGAGTGAAAATATGACTCAGGATACGGGCGGTAAATCTTTGGGGAGATCTCAGAGGTTTTACAAGGAAGGTTGCTTTCATCACTCGCCAGTTATTGCTACAGCCTAGCAGCCTGTAAATGGCAGTACAAATATGGCAAGTCACAGTTGATAAGATTCCAAAAATTTTCACATTCCGTTTCATCTTACTCCAAGAATGTGTCTAGGTTTGTATAGAGAAGCTCATTCAACCTAGTTTTTAGAAACAGAAGCAAAATGAAATTAAGCTATTCTGACAGATAAGTAATTGAAGAGAGGTGAAAACTGTCCTAATCATCAACTCTAGGAACAAAGCAGGAATTTTCCCAGAGCTTCAGTATCTCACCTAGGCTGGAATTGCTCACATTTTAGCTGTTTAGACTCTAGCATATTATTACTTGACATATACAACTTCTTGGTTTTCTCAGTCTTATTATCTAGCTCATTTTCATAGGGAAAGTTAAACAACTGGATCTGAAGAAAAACACCCACACTTGGAGGAGACATTTGAAACCATTGTTAATTTTACAGGCTTGTGTTCCAAAGCTGCTGAACTGTTTCACTTTGAAGGTAATAAATAAACATTCAACTCACTTGTAGTAGATGTAAATAAAATGTATGAAAAGTTACTTAACTGAGAAGAGGAATTTGTCAGAATGAATATTTGATGATTTTATAATAAGCAGTATTTTTATAATAAACAGTATTTACAGTGAAACTACTAAAATAGGCAAATATGAAGCTGTATGGTAGATATATATTAATTTTTAGAGAATGCAAATGGTCGAGGTTTTGCAAACATTTTACATCTGAGAATGCTCTCCCTAGCAGCTTGTGGCCTTGTTCCAGGTCAAATACTGCTACAAAATTGCACACCATATATTTGTGATGCTCAACAGAGTTCGGGAAGGGTTATGGAACATTAAGAGCTCGATTTTGCTTGTATGTGACCTTTTAGATCAGCCGGGCAATGCTGTAGCAACAAAGAAATAATACATCACACTAAGAAAGCAGGTAGTAACTCTCATACTTTTGTTTTTATCAGTTTCCTTGTGTGTGCCTGGTTTAAATAGAAAGAGAAAACAGAAAACAGTGGGATCAGTCTGGAAACTTTTATCAATAGATCATCTCTGTATCTCTGTTCATGTTGCTTATCAGGTGTCACATAAAAATACACTTCCTTGCAGTTCAATTCTCCTCACAGTAGCTTCTTATATGAAACACAACATTTCCTTTCAGCTAGAATGGAAATTAGGGTTTTCGCATTACAGAAATTATTACTACTAGAAGGTGAGAATGACAGGCATTTCTGTTTGTTTTACTTCTGCTGATTTTCGGATCAATGCAGAATTTCAAATCTCCTTACAGGGCCTGTAAAGCACTTGCTGTAATGTCAAATATACTGTTTCCAATGTCAAAGGAGCCCTTTTCCACAAAACCAGTGCAGTCTGAGACGTGTTTGGCACCTTGCTTCAGCAAAACCTGAATCAAAGCCAAAGCGCTTCTTTCAATTCACTGTTGTGCTTTTAGTACAACCTTGTAAAGGAGGACTTGGAAAATAATTAATGAAAACATACCCTCTCATCTCTGTAGTTCTTTAATAAATGTCAATACTTTAAAAAAAACAGACTTATGACTAAGCTTGTTCACAAAATGGAAAGGAAGAAATACAAAGAGGCACAGTGACTTGTCCCACACAACAGCACCTCTGGGAATGGAAACCGTATCTTCACTGATGTGGAAAGCACAAAACTACCCCCGTTTGGCCTTGGAACAAGTGTCTAGATGTGGGCTGGGCTGGCACTGGGGAAAAGGAGTAAGGCTGCTTCTCATGGTGCAGACATTTGATCATCATTGTAAGTCATAAAGCAAACTACAACCCCTGTCCTGTTTGCAATGAATGACCATTTTACATCTGACAGTGATTTACATCAGCTGCAATTTGTGAACGTTGTCAGTGTTTTACCTTTACCTGATGAAAAGACAAAAGGGTCACAAGACCACAGAAAAACAATCACGCTGGTAACAGCCAGTCTTGCAGAGTTTTTTAACCTCAATAGCTTTGATTATAGTTTAAAACGCATTGCTTGAACTACTAATTGTTCTCACAACACTTTGTCCGAAAGCGAGGGAGCTTCGTGGAGAATGTGTTTGCATTTAAGAAGTATCAGCTGTGTCTCTGGTTACTTATTTGGAATTATACTAAGTACAGAACAGTCAGCAGGAGGGGCTAGTGAGGGGGCAAATGAATCTGTTTCACAGGTATTGAGGAAAAAAACATGTAACAAAGAGCCACGTATCACAAACTTGCCCCTCTTCCTGTTTTTAAGCACTGTAATCTGAATTAATTAAGTGCTGTTACACGTACAAGGATGTTCTTTCTAGTGGGCCTTCACGCTTTTTTTCCACAGGTTGAATAACGCATTTTTAACAGGGGCCCCTTCAGCCACAGGAAGCCCAGGTAAAGGCCGATCCCGTGCCCGCCACCTTCACCCCGCCACGTTCAATTACGACACAGAAGCCGAGAGCAAAACCCACTTTCGCCCCTTCAACCTGCAGCTCTGAGGGACCGGCCCCCCCGCGCCCC